GGGGGGGGGGGGGGCAGGTATAGCTGAAAGTAACTCTGATTGGAAGTTCTAAATTAGTACCATCTGCAGTGACAACTTAGAACCAGTGACAGTGCTAAATTGGTCGTGACGAATAAGTATATTGGCAGTGCTAAAATAGTACTATTGGCAGTAGAAAATAAGTAGCAATGGCAGTGCTAAATTAGTAAGATTGGCAGTGACACAGCAGGTATTAGACTCTGCCAGGATACTTGGATAGTTGTTTTCTGCCACAAAATATATCTATTGACTTCAACTTATTTACAATTTATTCGTATTTTGCCACTGTAAAGTACAAGTGTGTGGATTTGAGGAACAAACTTACGTGTGACATTTTTACATTTTAGAAGAACGAACATGTATTTATTTTACAAGCAAAAACAATATAAAGTACATGCAACGTCATCAAGATTTTTAAAACTCTCTTTAACCATTTCTTTGAAGGCTACAATTTAATGTTTATAATATTTGAATCTATTTAGTGATCTCTTAGTGATTTATTTAGAGTTCTATTTACCGATCTTTTTAATGATCTATTTAACGATCTATTTAGTGTTCTATTTTACCGAATTGTAAAAGCTCAAATATTAATATAATGACTTGTTTTTAACATGATGAATTTTTTTTTTTTTTGCAATTTAGTATGAGCAGAAAGTTAGATATTACATAAAATTGTCATGAGCAGAAGGATAGAATGATTTTTTTCTATGGAGTGGATCGTTTTCATGAATGTTTATTTGTGCTTGCAATGATGTGTCTTGTGGCCTCGGTTTAACCACTGTTTCTTTAAGTGTTTTAAAACAGAAGTGAAGGGTACAAACAAGAGTGACACGCCTTTTACTCCAGGGGTAATAAGGGGAGAGAGACTGCAATCAGGTTAGTACAAAATAAAATGAGTAAAACAGAGTAGGGTTAAACCTGAAAAAATAAACGCAACAAAACAGCGAACGTGTCGGCAGAAAGCCTTCGTCAGCGAACAAAGCAACAGAAAAAAACGGTATAAAAAAAAAAAGAAATAGCACTTAGCTGGTAAGTAGTATCTGTGGGCAGCAATAGAAGTGTGGCAGAAGGAAAATGAGTGAGAGTTTAAATATGCAGTGGGTAAAAAAAGGGGGAGAAAAAAGTTCACTGTGATAGGTCAGAACGTGGAGGGGCGGAGCTAGGGTCAAGCTGTATTTTACTCCAATCTGGAGATTTATTGCATATTGTGAAATGGTGTTTCTGTGATTAAAATATAGTGAAGCTATCTCTTGGACTTGCCTCGTATGTCAATACAGTAGAATTATAGTAATAATTGTTGAGGAAACTCCGCAACGCTGAATGCAAATAGACAGTCATAGATTAAGTAACAGAAGAAGAGGTGCACAACGAATATACACAATAAGAAGAACACGTTACACAGATCTATTGAATGATCTATTTTATGTTATATTTACAGATCTATTGAATGATCTATGTACTGATATATTTACTAAACAAAAGCAGTAATAGTTTAAGATACATTTTAACAAAGCACTCATGAGTGATTATACATGACAATAAAGTGCTTCTGAGTGATTATGCGTGACAACAAAGCACTTTTGAGTGACTATGCATGACAATAAAGCACTTCTGGGTGATTATACCTGACAATAAAACACTTCTGAGTGACAATGATGACAATAAAGCACTTTATTTTAGGTCGCTTATAAATGAGAAGAACTACAAATGAGGCCATTGGTTAAAACTGTTGTTTGTTTTTAGAATTTCAAGAAATTATTTTAAGTGTAGTCAGTTATGGAGTGACCAGCTCGTCCAACTTAAGGTGAATGTTTTCAACGAGTTCACAACGAGTCTGATGCCTGGTGTCTGATGCCTAGTGTCCAATGCCTAGTGTCCGATGCCTAGTGTCTGATGGCTAGTGTCTGATGCCTAGTTTATGATGCCTGGTGTCTGATGCCTCGTGTCTGATGCCTCGTATCTGATGCCTAGCGTCTGATGCCTTGTGCCTGATGCCTGGTGTCTGATGCCTAGTGTCGAATGCCTTGTGTGTGATGCCTAGTGTCTGATTCCTAGTGTCTGGTGCATGTGTCTGATGCCTTGTGTCTGATGCCTGGTGTCTGATGCCAGGTGTCTGATGCCTGGTGTCTGATGCCTTGTGTCTGATGCCTAGCGTTTGATTCTAGCGTCTGATGCTCAGAATCGGATGCCTAGTGTCTGATGCCTTGTTTCTGATGCCTAGTGTATGATGCCTAGTGTCTGATGCCTAGTGCTTGATGCCTAGTGTCTGATGCCTCGTGTCTGATGCCTAGCTTCTGATGCCTCGTGCCTGGTGCCTGGTGTCTGATGCCTAGCGTCGAATGCCTTGTGTCTGATGCCTAGTGTCTGTTGCCTAGTGTCTGGTGCGTAGTGCCTGATGCCTAGTGCTTGTAGCCTAGTTTCTGATGCCTAGTGTCTGGTGCCTAGTTTCTAACGCCTAATGTCAGTTGCCTAGTGTATGATGCCTAGTGTCTGATGCAACTTGGGGCTAAAAAAAAGTATTTAATTTTGTAAACTTTAAAATTGAGAAAGTCAAAACCTACATTTACAGGGATGTATTGGTTAACTCACGTGGCCGCATAAACAAACACACCAATAAACACACCAATACCCAACCAAACATTGTGACATACAACTTGACATTAAGCTGTGACATACAACGTGACATGCAACTATAACAGACAACGACAAAGGGACGGTGTACCTTGGCGTCAGCGGACATCCAACCACAAGGCTAACACGAGCGGCAGTGCAACATAAGCTCGGAAAACACAAGCCCACGTACAGGTGAGGAAGACACAACATCAAAGTGCAAGGGGCGGGTCACCCACCGACATGTGGACGGACAGGCTTTCCGGTCGGGGGATGAGCACCTCCTCGACCTCCGTGCTGAAGCTGACGCTCTTGCTGGGGCTGGCCTGGGACGACGGGCTCGGGATGGGCAGCGCCACGGTCTCTGCGCTGCGGCTGATCGGGCTCGGGATCCGGACGAAGCGCGGGTAGTGTGGGGTCAGGATGGGCGCCGAGGCCCTCCGGTTTCTAGGGTCCTGGTTGCTGTGGTTGTAGTAGTGGTGCTGGTGGTACCGCGTCCCGAAGCGGTAGGCGTTGCCCCCGGATTTCCGCCGGGTTTTCCGGCCCAGGGCCGTGGTGCCCCTGGACATCATGGACATGCTGACGGACGCAATTTTCGGAGTTTGATGCTCTTCCAATTGTTATGTTAAAAAAACCTAAAGCACCAGGTACAATGATCTACTTTGGTACACTTTAATATTGGCAGTGACTACTTTAGTTTTCCTTCACATTCCCGTGCCTTTCAGTAATCTTTGTGAATCATCATGCCTTTGTGAAAGGCATCACGTTCTTCTCCAGTCATTAATCATTAGTAGGTGGTAAAACGACATCAAAGTGAATTCACCGGGCCGCCTATCCAGTGTAGGGAATGAGCACATGTCATGCAGATGATTCTCGAGATGCTACTAAGAGAATACACAAGATAGTGCTAAGAGAATGCACAAATAATCCCAGGAGACTGCGCACAATGCTATTCAGAGAAGACACAAGTAGTCCCAGATGACTTCATACAATGCTATTCAGAGAAGACACAAGTAGTCCCAGAAGACTTCACACAATGATATTCAGAGAATGCACAAGTAGTCCAAGAAGACTTCACACAATGATAATCAGAGAAGACACAAGTAGCCCCAGAAAACTTCACACTATGCTATGCTATTTAGACAATGCACAAATAATCCCAGGAGACTGCGCACAATGCTACTTAGAGAATGCCCCGAAAACACGATGGCACTCTCCGACGTCCTTAATATCTCTAAGACAGCAATCAAACGTAATTACTATGTATTCGATGAACATTTCAGTCATTGGAGCTGGCTGTTTGACTGAACAAATAAAGAACAAGTATATGTATCGACCCACCACAGCTAGTGCCAACATCAAAAATTGATAATAGGCATAGCAACTCTTTAAAAAAAAAAAAAAAAAATAATAGTCAACTGCGTATGCCAATATGTTCTGGCTGTTTGACTGAAAAAAAAAAGAACAAGTAAATGTATCGACCCACCACAGCTAGTGCCAACAACAAAAATTGATAAAAGGCATAGCAACTCTTTAAAAAAAAAAAAAAAAAATAATAGTCAACTGCGTATGCCAATATGTGACTGGCATTCACCTGCGTAGTTAAAGCAGTCACTATACTTTATGTATTTTTGGATTGGTTTATATGTGGTCAACAGAAACTTTCAGATTTATACAAAAAGACTTTGGATGCAGAGCTTCGTAGGGAAAGTGGCTGTTTAATCTGAACTTGAGGTGCACGCTCTCTTTACCACTACAGTGTACCTGTAGTCAACGTTGGCATGTTACATTATTAACCAGTCCAAGCCCAACACGGTTTATTATTATGATTACCAAACAATCGATTTCATAAAAGGATTAGTATGTCATAAGCGCACACTATAGCATCAGTTTATACGATGTTATACGAGTATACAATGTCATAAGCGTTTACAGTGCTATAACTGTATACAATGCCAGACAAGTTTAGACCAGTTTAAATTAAATACAGCAAGCTTAGTCTTAACAACAGAGACATTCCATTCCCATCATTTATAGGGACGGTGCTGATATACGAAATAAGCCGTTAAACAACACACATTTCTATCGAAAAGCTAACTTTTTTATTTAAGGTTAGAAAAGGGTTGGGTTGGCCCGGGGGGTGGGTGGGTATTTTAATCCTTCTCTTCGTAGTTAAGCGCATTGAAAACGTCTAAAACACATGTTACTGTTAATAAAGAAAAGCTTTCAATTACGTTCCTTTTTCTGGTGCCAGGGGAATTGTATCCCTTATTCTCTCCCACTAAAGCCTCTGAGTTGTATCCCTTGGATAATGAGTTCCCACATCTCAATAATTAATCAGCTTTTGAAAAAAAAACAAAAAAACACCGAATTAATAATCCATCTTTAATGGCCATCGGCGTAACCATAATGATCTCTGTCTCGCTCACTATGTGCGCGCTTGTGTACATGTGTCTGTGTCTTTGTATGCTGGTATGTTGGCGTTCGGCTTGAAGTATGGTCATTAAGTTTAACTATTTGATAGACTAAATCTCAGAGTTAATTGGAGGTAAGGGAGGGGGGGATCAAAGAGTATCTTCCCCCCGGGCTCTTAACACTCTGACTACGCCTCTTGTTATCACATTATTTGGTGGGTAACCATATTGTTATCTCATTATTTAATGGGTAACCATATTGTTATCACATTATTGGCGGGTAACCATATTGTTATCACATTATTGGCGGGTAACCATATTGTTATCACATTATTGACGGGTAACCATATTGTTATCACATTATTGGCGGGTAACCATATTGTTATCACATTATTTAATGGGTAACCATATTGTTATCTCATTATTTAATGGGTAACCATATTGTTATCACATTATTGGCGGGTAACCATATTGTTATCACATTATTGGCGGGTAACCATATTGTTATCACATTATTTAACGGATAACCATATTGTTATCACATTATTGGCGGGTAACCATATTGTTATCACATTATTGGCGGGTAACCATATTGTTATCACATTATTTAATGGGTAACAATATTGTTATCTCATTATTTAATGGGTTACCATATTGTTATCACATTATTGGCGGGTAACCATATTGTTATCAAATTATTGACGGGTAACCATATTGTTATCACATTATTTAATGGGTAACCATATTGTTATCTCATTATTTAATGGGTAACCATATTGTTATCACATTATTGACGGGTAACCATATTTTTATCTCATTATTTAATGGGTAACCATATTGTTATCACATTATTGACGGGTAACCATATTGTTATCTCATTATTTAATGGGTAACCATATTGTTATCACATTATTTAACGGATAACCATATTTTTATCACATTATTGACGGGTAACCATATTGTTATCACATTATTGACGGGTAACCATATTGTTATCACATTATTGGCGGGTAACCATATTGTTATCACATTATTGACGGGTAACCATATTGTTTTCACATTATTTAATGGGTAACCATATTGTTATCACATTATTGGCGGGTAACCATATTGTTATCACATTATTGGCGGGTAACCATATTGTTATCACATTATTGACGGGTAACCATATTGTTATCACATTATTGGCGGGTAACCATATTGTTATCACATTATTGGCGGGTAACCATATTGTTATCACATTATTGACGGGTAACCATATTGTTATTACATTATTGGCGGGTAACCATATTGTTATCACATTATCACACACAGGTGAGTAGTAATAAAAATACTATTGTCACGCAGATATGGAGTTTCAGAGAAACAAGATACGAAGATACTTTTCTCATACAGATATGGCATACACATTGTACGACCAAAATAATTATTTATCTTTCCCGTTAATATGCGCCTTACGTCATAAAATTTATTGTTTTCATCAATGTATATTTCAATCAGATAAATACCTATAAAATCAAAACATAAATTGAGTACAAATTCAATGATGTAGGTGTACGATAATAACAATGAATTATTTTTTTTCCAGTCAACGACGTAACTGTTAGAGTGAACAATCTGTGCTAAACATGAGAACGAAAGAACTCAACTCTGTGCTAAACATGAGAACGAAAGAACTCAACAAAGCGTTTCGCATAAATTCTTTATAAAATGTTATGACGAGGGATAGGGTTTGAACATTTAACAAAAGATGCTTTACAAGTAACGCCCTTTATAAGAATCCCAGTTAGTGCCACCCCCTCCCCCCCCCCGCTCGACTCACAACCGCACATCTTTATCACGCCCCGGAACTATATTAACATTCTAATAACACACCAGATTTTACAGCGGAGTTTCATTTCAGGAAAATAAAAGAAAATTTTACGCACCAATCAAGCTTCGGATATTTAAATTTTTTTTCTTTTTTTAAAAAAAAAGAACCTCATTTAGCGTATTTATCTGGAATTGTATTTCCTCAAATCCGTGGCATCATATTTCCTTCATCTTCCCCTTGAAAACTAAAGAAAAACTAATTTTTGGAGCTTGTTGTCGGTTGTTGGAGGTGGGCTAAATATTTGAGAGAATGTTTTTTTCATCGGCTACAAGTGTATGAGCCAAGTTTCAGCTCAATACGTTGACGGGAAGCCACAGACCAAATAAAAAAAGCGATGTCAATATAAGGACTTAAAAACGCCTGGCGTTAACAAAATTTTATCGTCACTATAGTTTAGTCCAAACAAAGTCTTGCTTGACAACAGGCGGACACGATTCAATGCAATGCGTTCCTTAAACCCATTCGTAGTCCAAGCCAGCGAACCTTGAGAATATAGCATGAAACGAAAAGCCGATGCGTCCAGAAGGGAGGTTATCCAATGCGCGACAGCTTCGGCAGTCTCAAAGAACAAAGCCGTTGATCAGATTTCAGAAGTGTTTTAGATTGGGAGTATTGAGCGGTGGATTAAAGCTCTGGAAATAACTTGACGGGTTAACCATGGATGTAGGTCAGACCAAAATAAATTCTGCCTCCCACCCCCCGTTTTTTTTTCCCCCTAGAGGTTCATGGTGGACTCGTAAAAGAAATTATAAGAGTTATTAGAATTTGACGATAGGATTGAGTTTTAAAGAAATCAATTTTGGTTCGTTTCGCCGGATTTGCAAGAGGAAACCTAGGGACTTGTTTTAAGATAATAAAATATATTAGTACTGAACACTTGAACAAGTGTGTATGGTTTGATGTGTGAATTTTATCAAATGATGCTGAAGTTTCGCAGAAAGCTGAACTGTTAAAATTTGTAACACGGCCAATGCCTTTTGTGGTGCACAGGAAATGTCTTTTGTGGTGCACAGCCAATGTAAAATGTGGTACAAAGCCAATGTCTAATGTGGTGCACAGGAAATGTCTAATGTGTTATACAGCTGATGTCCACTGTGGTACAAGGCCAATGTCTAATGTGGTGCACAGCCCATGTATAATGTGGTACACAGCCAATGAA